TGCCAAATCGTGTCCATTCCCGCTGTGTGACGAAAACAAGTACGAAGATACTTTGCACAAGAACTTCAAGGACCTTTGTTATCGAACACTAGACTAGTGTAGCTTACATGGTTTATGCATTTTCCTTTATTCTACTGATGAAGCAAAACCATAATCGTGTTTGTGTCGTGTTTCTGGGCTCTGCATAGAGAGTTCAAGTAATTAAATCGAGGAGGTCACGATTCCGGATGTACATGTTCAACAGCAGATCTCGAAGCTTCTTTGCTATCGCAAGAAAGGCCGTGGACGCTGCTTGCAAAAAGCATTCGATCAGCTAGGACTTCCGAAGATGGCCAGATTGGAGCCTTCTACACTTTTGCAAGATGTGGGGTCTTTCGAACAAAAGCAGTGTCCGTTCCGCTGCATTTTTTATGTGGCCGGGGAACATGGCCGTGTTTTGCATATGTCTCCGCTGCTGCAGATCCCAGGAGTCAGCTTGAACACGTGGGGTATCGACATATTACACACGTGGCACTATGGACCCATGTCTACTTATCTGACATTTACTCTTCGTGCTTTGCTGAACACGGAGATCTACAAGCCTGGCAATTCGGCAGTGCTAGACAAGGAAGAAAATGACAAGCTTTGTTTGATGGCCCTCAAGGCAGAATTATGGATGTTCTACAAGCACAGACGTGCCACAGACAAGGAGTGGAGCAAGAAAGGTTCTGAGGTGGGGCGGAAATAAACGATCATTAAAACTTACAACACGAAAGTCCTAAGTTAAGTGACTATATTAGAGGTAAACATCGAGAGCCAAGCCCGCAACAGGTATTTATCGCCGGCTAGATATAACCATTTACTAGATTAGGGTCTTTGGTAAATTATATAGGTGGTTAGAGTTTAGAGGAATGTTTGTCCGCAGCCCAAATAGTTTGCTGTTCAAAACATTGTAGTAAGAGAAGATAGTGAATCGTTGTTTCGCGAAACAAAATATACTTTGTAGGTGTGGAACCTCACTCTCACCATGCTTGCCGAGAAAGCACTGAAGTGCAAAGCAGCGGAGACACACGGTTTACTTCGCTTTGTGGTCATGACACTTGAGAAATACAAGGAGGTGCTTCAGGGGAGCGAAAAGTCGCAAATGTTTGATCTTCTTCTTCGGGCAGGGTGTGCAGCTGAAGCTTTCGATCAGACTATGAACGAGCACGACAGAGTGTTTCCAGAGGAAGCATGCGATGCTTTGTTTTCGCACTATCATCGCTTCATACAGCTTTGCTCAAGGACTGGTGTGCCTTTTTTACCAAAGGGCCACCTTATGTACCACCTTGTTTCTCAGGCCAGGGAGAAAGGTAATCCGAGGATGTTTTCTACTTATGTGGACGAATCCTACAACGGGGCTATTGCTAAAGTGAGCCGTTCCGTTCATCGTCGAAATTGGGCGATGGCAGTTTACCGCAAATTGCAAATGTTGGAAGCCCTGAACTGTTCTGCTGACGACTGACGAGTCACTTGCTGCCGCCTGACCGCATATAGCAAAGCTGCTTCACATCCTCAATTTTCAATGGTTTTCCCCACTGAGATTGATCCTATCGATCACGGGGTTTAGGGATTAGGGTTTAGGGGTTTAGGGTTTAGGGGTTTAGGGTTTAGGGGTTCGCTAATCAACGAAAGTTACGAAACCCTTTTTCCTGATAAGACCACCGTGAAACCCTGATCCGTCGAGGTATGAAGCGCCAGAGCTCCAAAGATGCCGAGCTGCCGTTTCTGCCGTTTGCTCAGCAAGGATGTGGTTTGAGGCACGTGATTTCGAGTTCGGGGCCCAGGGCTTTGCTCCAGGTTAATGTTATCTGAGTCGAAATAACTATTGAACAATTGTCGGCGGCAGAGCTTCCACGATTTAGGGCTTCCTGGTAGTGAGATTTCGGCTTCTGTGCTGTGATTAAAGCTTTTGGGGCTTTAGGGTTTTAGGGCTCAAGGGTTTAAGGGTCTATGTGGGCTTTAGGCCTTTGGGGTGTGGACTTAGGGGTTTTAGGGCTCAAGGGTTGAATTCCGAAAGCCGACACTTTAGGCTTAACCCCCCCCCCCTCCCCCCCCCAAAAAAATACCGAAAGTCTGAAGAAGCCGCTTTCCTTCGAATCCAAATCGAGGCTACACTTTTCGAAGGCCACGGCTATAGTAGTTTCGATTTAGAATAAATAGTGGGTTGAGGGTTCTATGTCCAATACTTCATAAACCCGTCCCGCTCATAAACCCCGGACCCTCCTAACCAATAAAAGGCTGGTGGCTGCCGGGTGGTTCTCCAAAGGGATGACACAGGCGACTCGATCCGATTTCAACAGGTTTTCTTGTATGGTTTAGGGGGCTCGCTATAGCTTGTTATCCTAAGGCTTCGGGGTCTGGTCTAACCGTTTTGTGTCGGGCTCAGGAAATGCTTTCGCATGGCATTGTGATGCACTTGTACAGCGATCGGTGTGTGTGCTTGCAAGGGCGGATCGCGAGAGCTCCATCTTTTTGAATAAATAAATACAATGTAAATATAAATGGGTTTAGGGTTTAGGGTAAAGGCCCCCAGTAAATACACGACAGATCCGAATCTTGAGACTCCGAATTTTTGAGAAGCCAAGAGTCGATCAGTCGCCACGCAGTCCGTCCAAAGGATCGCTTGGCGAGGAAGACCATATGGGTTTAGGTTTAGGGTTTCAGGGCTTAGGGTCGAGGTAGGTTTGGATACAATATTCAAGACTTTTACGGGTTCCGGGCCAAGGCTTCGCTTCGGCTCAGTCTGCTTATTCAGGCTCTAAAGGACACCCTGCATTGAGTATATAGTAGCATTTCTGAAAAGGTTTTGATTCTGGGGCCTTGTGAAGACCTCCGCTTTAGACTTTAGACCCAAAGCCACAAGCCTCCCGCCACTTCAAGCCCGGCCCGGAATCTATACTGCTTAAGCTTAGGACCCCGGGAGACCTACACATTCATAGCCATTTCCACACCCATGAATCCTATCCTCGGAGACCTCTGCCCCGAAAGGAATACTCAAACCCTCAACTAAAACCCAGAAGAACAAGCAAACCAGAAACCGCGAGGTATATCGGCAAAACTCGATCGTATTGGCAGGATATCAGAATTTACGTATTCGGTGTGACGGGATATAGGGATGCTTCTCATCTGGTGCTTCCACCCTAGCTTATTATTGTTTCACTAGTTTTCGCCGGATCATTCATGTTGCAAACACCACGCACCACACCATAAACAGTGTAGTTCAACAAAAGTTGTTGTCATAAACAAGCCCAAAGACGAACAACAACCCACAACTTGCCAACACCCTGTTCCTCGTTTATATCGGAGTATTAAGAAGAAAGAATAAGGAGAGACTAAGTATTTTGGCTCAAACCGATGTTCTGCGAGATGCTGCTCGCAAACACGGTTCGATATAACGAGAAGTATAAATATCGACGAAATAGCTCCACTGCTAGCATAACTGCTTGCCTTTGCCACCCTTACCGATTGCAAACAAGAAGAATCTGGTGTCCACTGGTTTTGTGGGTTACATCTGCGAACTTTCGCTTCTTTTGCTCAAGTTGTAGGTTTCGCTGTTTCACCCGAAATTGGTAGCGGATCCACTTTTAATGGAGTGGTTCTACTTCGGACCATCAACATTCGGATCTACTTTTTGGATCCGGCCGGGGGTCTGGGTACAGGACACCGGCCACTTTAAATTCGATGCAGGTTAGATTCATCTTGCTAGGCGAGCGTGGTCTACCGACACTACCGCTGAGAATGAAGATGAGATGAGGTGTGTATGGATGCACGCTTGCGTGGATGTGTTGAAATATCACGTCCCATATTCTCCCCGACTTTGCCACATTCGTGCCTCAAGACACCTTGCCCCTGCAGAGAACGGCGCTGTGGAACTTCAGGGCTGATTTTGGTGTCTCAGTTGAGTGAGCTTCGCATGGTAGCGGAGCTGAAAGCTCCAAGAAACTTTGGTGAGAAGACATGGCCTTAGGAGGCGAAGGAAACTTTACAGGAAAGCTTCGGCTTCCCTTGCCTCAGCGGCAATCCTGCCGACTGGGAAGAATGGGCCTGGAATTTTAAGGCCTACATTTCGATGTTTGAGACAGGTGCTGTTACTTTGCTTGATGCAGCAGAAGCAAGAAACGATGAATTTCTTGATGACCACTGACAGGTGACTTTGGACACAGGTGATGCTGATGCCGAGCAAACCGCACATTACTTGATTTCGCAACTTGTGAAAGATTCGGCCAAACTTATCGCTTGGCAGAATGAGGATTGCAATGGCTTTGAGACTTGGAGGAGACTTTTCAAGGAGTTCTCGCTGCAGGAGCTACACGGAGCACGTCACTTTTGACTCAGCTTCTGGACTTCAAGTTCAACTCAGCGACCTTTGAACAGGACTTTAATGTTTGGGAAACCATCAAGTCGAGATACGAACGACAATCAGGTGTACCTTTACCTGATGGTGTACTTGTAGCAACTTTGTTGAACAAGACCACGGGAGTTCTGCAACAACACTTGAGATTGAACGCTCGAACTTTGCAAACATATGCACTGACATGTGCGCGAGGTAATTCTCGAATACCATCGCTCTAGACTTTTGATGAACCCTTTTGCGCAGATTTCGGCGAATGTAACTTTCTAAGGAGGAGCCTGGGCTTTAATGGACATTGGTGCTTTAGGAAAAGGAGAAGTCGTATGGAAAAGGAAATCAGCGTTGGAACTTTATGAAAGGAAAAGGAAGAGGAAAAGGACAAGGAGCAGGCACTTCTAGCTCTACTTCGGTTTGCTGGTCGTGCGGAAAGACAGGACACTTTGCTTGTCCCACTTACCGTGTTTCGGCTCTTGATGGTGAGGAGGATCAACTTTGGAACGACGACCAAGGTGATTGGACTTACTTTGGTGAGTCTGATGACTGGTCTGATTGGACCGAGTGGGCGATCAACGCCGTTGGAGAACTTTACAACGACAACAGTAGTTGGGATCAGACTTGGGATGATTCACTTTGGTCCTGGGAATCGTGGGATTTCTGGGACCCTTGGGGTTGGTCTTCGGACTTTTCTTCGGAACTTTGGCCTGCAGAGGCCGCCATTTTGGCGAAGGCCGAAACTTTGACGCAGAAGCCCCAGGAAGAAGCTGCGTCGTCCAGCGGCGCGGCAACTTTGCC